AGAGTGGAAAGGTTTTCTCTTTGAAGTATTCTAAGCATTTCCCCCACAGCCAGTTATTTGTACAGGAAGCAGAGCAGTTAGAAAGTATTTTCCAAGAAAGGGAATAGGAATTCTGAAAGAACAATGCAGCCCAGCCAGGCTCTGAGGGATTCCCACGGCTCTGCCTGACCCTTCTCCTAGGGAGGTCATGCAAGGAAGACCATGACCCAGGGGGTGACCCTTCCTCATGTGCACCTTGCGAAGGAAGCTTTTAGGAAAGCAGTTCCTAAATGAAATCATCAGTGTTATCTGCGACAGTCACGTATGGTGGTGCATGCCTGTAATCCCAGAAATCTTCCAGTGACCCTCCAGCCTCAGCCTCCTGAGTGCTGGGATTACAGATGTGCACCACCATGCCTGGCCCCTTTTTATCCTGAAACAGGGTCTTGCTGAGTTGTCCAAACAGTGAGTTTGAGGTCAGCCTGGATTATATAACAAAGCCCTGTCTCAAAAATACCAAACCAAACCAAACCAAAAATAAAGGGGTCGGGATATAGCTCATTGCCAAGGCCCTGAGTTCAATCCCCAGTACCACAAACAAACAAACAAATGAGCAAACACCAACTGAGACCCTCAGCCAGTCTTTTTTCTTGGCCTGATTGCTTCAGTAAGGGCGAGAGGGAAATTGAAGCAAAGTGCAATGACAGTAGCGACCAGCAGAGGGCAGGCGCGCGCTGCAGATGGCCCCTCCTAAGCTTGGGACAGGGTCTGGATGAGGCCCCTGAAGCTTCCGTGTGGCCTGCATGCTGGGTCCCATGCTGTCCGAGGCCAGGTCACCGGAGGACCCAGTGGTAGAGTCCAGCAGGAAGGCCGTCTGGGAGCCATGTTGGTGACCATACACGTGGTCACTGTATGCCGGGCCCTGGGCTGACCACTTCCGGACAGCGCATCCGGTGACTGCGTACCTGAGCAAGGTGGCTCTGAGAAGCGGGAGACAGGCAGGTGTCTGGGCAGCCAGCCCCGAGGGACTGCAGGACAACACACATTTCTTGTCTGGGATGGGTTTGTTCAGGTATCTCAAAAGCATATTCTGCCCATTAGATATCTGTGTCACCGATGGTACAAAGGAAGCTTTCTGTTTCTTCAGTACTGACTACTGAAGTTGAGACCCTGACATTGAACTGCATCCCTAGTCCCGTTTTATCATTGTTTTTGAGCCAGGGTCTTGCCAATTTGCTAGGCTGGGACTTGCAGTCCTCCTGCCTCAGCCTCTTGAGTGCTGGGATGACAGTCGTGTCACTGTTAGGCCCGCCTATGTGAGTGGTCTTTGCTCTGAGCAGCTGCAGGTGCCTAGAAGCCCGGATTGTCCTCCGGGACTCCACCTGCAGGGGGTGTGTGGGGTGGGCTCTCGGTCACTTGTTCCCTTAGATCCCAGAAGGGAAGGGAGAGACTGAGGCCCATCTCCTCAGAGACCCCTTGGCCCTCTCCAGTGCCAGTGCTGCCTCCGGGGCGAGACCCCGCTGAAGGACCACCCCCCAGGTGCCAGGCACGGCTCCGGGCCCTGCTTCCCGAGTTCACAGAGGGGCGCCCTGTCCTCCAGCCCTGCTCAGATCTGAAAGCAGAAAATCCCACTGAGGATGTAAGAACCCACGGCCACACAGTCCAGGGGAAGGGAGCGAGGCCTGGAGCTGTGAAGGACTTGGCTGCTGTTGGCACCGTGGGAAGAAGGTGTTGTCTCCTCTGCTGATCGACTGAGCCAGGCTGTGCCCAGGCAGGTCCTGGCACTTCCTGCATCCCTGGCCTGAGGGTTACGGTTAACAATTAATTGGCTGTGAGTTACAGGAAGGGCACACAGAACGTGGGTCACTGTCCCCATCCAGATGCATCAAGGCCGAGCGAGCCAGGTCAACAGTCTCTTGGCAGTTTATCAAAGTACCTGCTGAGGCTTCTGAAGAAAACCTGACCACTCCCTGAGTACCAGGGGAAGAAGGGTGATGGCCGGCTTAAGGCCCTGGAGGAGCTGTGGGTTTTCCTTTCTGCGTCCATGGGAAAAGGAGTTCAGATTGTGCATAGCAAACTGTCACCCATGTGAAAACCTATCAAATCATTGTTTTTCTGTTTTTGTTTTTGTTTTTTGTGATGCTGGGGATGGAACCCAGGGGTGCTCTACCACTGGGCTACACGCCCAGCCCTTTTCCTGTTTTATTTTGAGACAGGGTCTCTGGGGGCAAACTTGTGATCCTCCTGTCTCAGGCTCCCAGAGTAGCTGGGACTAAAGGTGTGCGCCACCCCATCTGGCTCAAGTCGTCTGTTGTAACAGGTGACAGAGTGGCTGTGGGGGAACACAGCTGCTTCCTGGATGGGGCATCTTAGCACCGTTTTTTTACTGTGAAGACTAAAATTTCCTTATAGAACATTGTGCTTCCAGCAGCCCTCTTCTCAACAGCCCCAAGGGGGCGCGACCCAGGTGCCCCCAACAGCTGAGCTGGTGAACAGGGAGATGGGGTCCCTATGGACAGCGGGACACTATTCACCCTCAGAGAGGACAGGAGTTCTAATACACACTGCACTGTGGGTGAACCCTAAAGACCCAAGGACTGGTCAAAACATACAGTATGTGTTTGAATTTAAAATTTTATTATAGTAAAAGACACATTGCTATTCATCTCATCAAGGTACCCTCGCCCAACACACTTATCCCTTGGTTCTTGCCACTTTCTGAAGGAGTTCTGGAAGTTCTCTTTCATGAGTGTCTTTATGAGGTGTGATCAAAACTACAGTGAATGTTGCTCCCAAGTGCCTCCCAAGGAAAGGCAGGCTCCTAAAAACATTACAGTGTATCCTCGTCTACCTTATTCAATGCATCTGGCATTGTGTAATTTCTGGCTCTTCCCCAAAGCCAAAGTGACCATGAAAGGGAAACATTCTCAATCAGTTCAGGACACCAAGACAGCCAAGAGTGTAATTAACTACAGACACTCATGAAAGAGGACTTCCAGAACTGCTTCAGAAAGTGGCAAGAGTGGTGGGATAAGTGTGTTCAAAGTGAGGGGGATTTGTGACAATGTGTTTTTTACTGTAATAAAAAGTCTTAAACCTTCACTGTTTTTTAATCACACCTCATATTATCGTAAATGAAATAAGCCAGACCCAAAAAGACAAGTCCTGTACAATTCCCCTTATGTGAACGATGCGGTCGCCTCCACGGAGACAGGGAGCAGGATGGTGGTTGCCAGGAGCAACAGGAGGTGGGAGAGGCTGGGAGTTAGTGTTTCAGGGGCTCAGAGTTCCAGCTGGGACAGCAGGAAGGTTCTGGAGATGGATTTACACAGCAGTGTAAATGGACTTAATGCCACCACACCACACACTTAAAAATGATTACACAGGTACCTTCCAGATCATGTGTCTATTTCTACAACAAAAAACTTTTACAATATAAGCTCATAGTTTAACCAGAATACTTTCGTAGCCAAATCTGTTCTTAATCTCCCAGTGTGAGGGGGCAGCGTAGCAAGGAGACGTCTTAGGAGGCTAAAAAGTACAGTAGAGACTCGGGTACAGAAGAGAATTCCAGGGCTCACCTGTAAAGCCTCAACTAGAGAAGGCAGTGGCTCTGGCAGACCACACCCCACCACAACCCCTCTGTCTTTATGGTCCTGCCAGCTCTCCTTCTGATACCAAGCACGGAAAACTGGGTGAGTGGGGTGAACCTAGGAAGATTCCACCTTTCTCCCCAAGGTCCTGCTCTTTCCAATTTTTTTTTTTTTTGGTCGTACTGGGGATTGAGCCCAGGATCTTTGCACTAAGCCTCATCCTCAGCTCTTTATTTTTATTTTTGTTTGTTTGTTTTGAGACAGGGCCTTGAACTATGTAGCCCAAGCTGGCCTCAAACTTGCAGTGATGCCCTGTCTCAGCCTCCCAAGTGCTGGAAATACAGGCGTACACCACCACGCCCAGCCCAGCTTTTTATTCTAAAATTTTTATTTTGAGAAAGGGTTTTGCTAAGTTGCTATACTGCCCAGGCTGGGCTTGAATTTACAGTCCTCCTGCAGCAGCTTCCCAGGGTGCTGGGACCACATGCATGCACCTCCACACCCAGCTCCTGTTTTATTTTGTATTCTTGCTGATAGCCTTTCCATCTTGGGTGACATGGAATCTCTATGTAGTTGTGATTTGCATTTCTCTAATAGCTAAAAATATTGAACACTTTGAAAATATACTGATTGGCCATTTGTACTTCTTCCTTTGAGAAATGTCTATTCCATTCATTTGCCCGTTTTTTGGATTGGGTTATCTGTTTTGTTTTGTTTGCTGGACTGGAGCTTGAATCCAGGCCCTTCACACTAAACTCCATCCTTAGCCTTTCTTTATTTTGAGATAGGGTCTTGATTGGTTGCTAAGTTGCCCAGGCTGGACTGGAACTTGTGATCCTCCTGCCTCAGCCTCCAACTAGTGTTCTAATTCTCCTGGTGTTTTAAAGTCAGCTTGGGTACCCTGATCCCCCAAATGCTTGGTGCTTCTCTCTATGTCCTCCTGATCACCCAGCAGAGGGCAAGTGGGTTGGGGCTTGAGCTCAACAGCCACCCAAGGGGCTAAGATTAAGACCGCATCCCACCGGGGAAAACTCAGTGGCTAATAGGAACACACCTTCGAGTCACCTCCTGTCTTTCACAAGAGAATGTGAGCATCTAAAGGTGGCACCATGGAGTGGGACCAGGACGAGTCATCAACGAGAAGGGCTCATCACTTATATTTGCCCTCTAATTCTTTGCATTCACAAGAGGCAGACAAGGCACGAAGCCACCACCATGGAATCCACACGTGATGTCCACAGAGGAGACAAAGATTACCATGCAGGGGCCAGCTAGGCCCTGTGAGGGGCAGGTGTGTGACCGTCCCAGTCCCCACGGCTTGCTCTGCTGACAGATACCTGGCCTCGGTGGCCCGAGGTGGCATGGAGGACCCTGAGCTGCCCACCCTGCAGAAGCAAGGCCGGGCCGAGGAGAAGGACCCCATCCTACCTTTCAGGGTGCCCTGCAGGGTCTGTGCCAAGCTTGCCAGACGGTGGCTGTCACTGGGATTCTTGCTGGGGTTCTCTGTCGCCGGGAGGCTCAGGGCAGCCAGGTGAAGGTTCACAAGGGTCACTTCGTTACTTCCCACCTGGGCAGCGGGAGACAGAGAGACAGGGAGGGGTTCGCACGCTGCCACTTCCCGATGCACCACGCGCACCTCAGTCCACACACGTCCCACCACTGGGGGCTCCTGTCCCCCTGAAGCCCACCCTGTGCTGATTAACCTTGATCACAGCTGGGCAGCAGGGGGTGCTCTGCAGGCCTCACCCAGGGAGACACTTTATCTGCTGGGCCGTCAGGCCCCACTTGACTGCTTGGAGTTTGGCTAGTAGGCCTTTGGTTGTCATGGAAACAAAAATAAACACTGCTAAGAAAGGAAAGATGGGGGCTCCAGGAAGCAGAGGTGTCAAGCTTGTCTGGCAGACAGGGCCCCAGTTTGACACCCCCAGGCCCACAGCTCTGTCGCTGCAGCCCTGCCTATCAGGGAAGCCACCTTGTGGCTAGGCAGGGGTAAGGGCAGGATGCACTGCACTTCTCATCTCTTTTTCTCTCTCTTTTTTCTTTTTGCAGCATTGGGGATGAAATGCAGAGTCTCACACGTACTAGGCAAGCACTGTGCCTCTGAGCTAAGTTCTCCAACCAAGCCCCACCCCTGTACGGGACCATCCACCTGCACAGCTCTGCATGTGACCCGCGGCACAGGAGGCCACGTGCCTGGCTAGGGGGCTTCTTGAGAGGAGCTGGGCCACCACGGGGGACACCACAGCACTTTTTCATCCAAAAGAGCTTGCACAGTTTTGTCAGTCCAGGGGATTCCGTCCAGGGACTGAATGCCCTGAGCTGCATCCCCAGCACTTCTCTCACTTTTTATCTTGAGACAAGGCCTTGTGAAGTTGCCAAGTTGCCCAGGGCTGGACTCAAACTTGTAATCTTCTTGTCTCAGCCTCCCACAGTGCCAGGATTACAGGTGTGCGCCACCACGCTCACCTTTAAAAGCCAGCTTGCTGGGCCGGGGATTTAGCTCAGTGGTTTCGCTACCCACTGCACAAGCGCAAGGAGTTTGATCCCCGGTACCAAAAAAAAAGGTAAAAGCCAGCTTGCGTTGCAGTGACACTAGCTAGTCTGGCTGTTGCTGTAGCTTTACTCGGCCAAAGTCGCTTGACATAAAAAGGGGCCCGGCACGGTGGTGAGAGGTTTTAAAGATGACCTGAGCTGACTCCCCCAGCAGGTCCCTGAGTGTGAGTGTGCAGACAGGGCCCACAGGTGAAGACTGTAGGCTGGGGCACAGAAGTGTCAGCGGGTACCACAGTGGACACCCCAGGGCGCACACACCCACCCTTTGGCCTTGCAGCCCTGGGGTGAGGGGGAGCTGCAGCTCGTGGCCCCAAACATACGTGACCTATGGCACAGGTACCTTGAACCTGGCAAGGTGCGAGCTGGGTGCCGGGGGCCTCCCGTGCCCATTGCTGGGGCTCTCCTGCCAGGCAGCATCTCGCACCTCCACACCGGCTGCCGTGTCCCACAGGAATCCCGAGTACCCAGCACTCTGCAGCGAAAAGGAGACATAGTGAGTGCTGGGTGCGAGTTCCACAAGGGAAATGGAGCAAGGGGATAGGCGGTGGGGGCTCCTGCTCCCCAAGAGCATTCCCCAAAGTGCCCCACACAGCCAGGCTCTTCCCGCTGATTGGGCACAGGTATCCCAGGGGTCATCCCGTGCCACAAGGTAGCAGCTTGTGCCCCCTTTGCTAGGGGAGGACACAGGTGCTCAGAGAGGCTGAGTAACTTTCTGAAAACCCTGCAGCTGTGAAGGCCATGCTGGGAATCATTCAGGAGACTGTGTGGGGTGGGGGTGACTTGCAGATGAGCGGCTGGTCACAGCATGTGGGGCCGAGCACTTAGAGGTGGCTCAGTCTGCAGCTGCTGGATAAAGGAGTCTGGGTAGGCCTCAATGCCCGGAGCTCAGGAATGGGTGGAGGGCTCTGCAGGTGGACGCCTGAAGCCTGGGTCATGGCCCTGAGGGCCATGGGGGCACAGACTCTGGGCTGCTGAGGGCAGTTTTGAGGGGTCCCATCATCCCTGCAATCTGAGAGGCTGCTCTCAAGCCGCCCACTTCTGCCACTGCCTGGAGGCTCAGGACAGAGCGGCTTCTTCTCCACACCCACAGCACCAGCACGGGCAAGTTGCACACATCTGCAGGGAGGGCCCACACCATCACAGAGGCCGGCGGTGCTGCTCAGGGCTCCACCAAGCCATAGGGGCGGAAGTGGCCCTGCACAAGCATCCTCCTGGGCAGCTGCCCCCAAGTCTTTGGCTCAGCTCGGGCCGAAGCTTCTGTGCTCCCTGCTGGCAGCAGCACTGGGTGGATTCACAGACCCTGGTCTCAGTGTCCCCTGTGTCAGGGAGCCAAGAGCCACCCTGCCTATCTATGCCTCAGCGTCCTGGGCACGGTGAGGTCGGCAGCGCTCTGTCAGCTCTGTCTGCTCCTCTCCTTTGTGTGTGTCCCATGCAGCGGTGCCAGGGCCACCTTCCCTGCCCAGGGCTCCGGTCATCTTCTGCCTGAAAACAGTCTCAGCTCCCTGATGCCACCTTCCTCCTCACAGCCACCTGTCAGGCCTGCTTGTGTGTTCCCAGTGGCCCCAGGGCCTTTCCTGTCCCCCACCCTTCTGTGCACACTGCTCCATCACTGGTTTGTGACACATCTGGGTGCCTTCAGCAACTCAGACTGACTGTCAAGGTCAAGAGCTGCTGGCCCAGCCGATAGCTCCAGGCTCAGCTCTGAGCACCACCTCCAGGCAGGGGACACTGTGGGGCAAATCACTTCTTCCAAGGTCTCTCAGGTCTCAGCTTTCTTATTTGCAAACTGCCTCAGGCTGCGATGTAGGGGCTAGAGAAGGGACCAGGGGGCTTAGGGACCGGAGACCAGGCTTGGGGAGCAGGGCTTGTGCTTTCTACTTTTTTTTTTTTTTTTTTGGTACTGGGGATCAAACTCGGGTCCTTGCGCTTGCGCAGCAGGTGGTGAAACCACTGAGCTGAATTCCCAGCTCACTTGTGCTTTCTTGTGCAGTACACATACTAAATATTCCTGACCTGCAGGTGGATTGTTTGATTCAGTGTTGTAACACATCTTTTTGATTATCGGTTGTGACCATTCATCCTGATATGTCAACTTCATTGGATTAAGAAATGCCCAGCAGATTAATAGAGCATACTTCTGGGTATGTCTTGGGGAGGCTCATGGAGGTGTGACCTTGGTACTCTGTAGAGTCCCCGGCCCTTCCTCTCTGCCACTGTTTGTCTGTTCTGCTCCTGGCCACCATGAGCTAAGCAGCTTTGGTCCACCATGCCCTTCTACCATGATGTTCCTGCTTGGAGCCAGCTGACCATGGACTGAATCTCCTGAAACCGTGAGCCAGAGCCAGACTAAACCTCTCCTCTTTTAGGTTGTGGGTGTTGGATGTTGTGTCCCAAGGACAGAAAAGCTGAGTAGCACATCCTCCTGAATATTTAAAATTCAGACATAGCCAGACTGGCCCACAGTACTTTATGGTGATGACTGGCTGGGCCTGGACATAGCTGCAGCTGATGGGGACCGGGTGCTCAGTCCCACACCTGCACATCCTACTTGGCCTTCATTGTGCTGATGCACACCAGGGCTGCTTGATTAAATCCTGAAGCTAAGAAAAGGGTTATCCTCTATCATACAGAGGAAGAAACTGAGGCACAGAGGTTTAAGTGGCTGGAATTTGGCTCGTGGTGACTTCATGCTGTTCTCCAATGGCCTTGACCCCCTCGTGGAGCAGGGTGACCTGCCCTGTCCCAACAGTCTGTGAGTGTCTTGGAAGAGGGGCCGGTCGGTGGGGAGGGTTTTCTCACTGATGTGCACCTGGGACAACACAGGGCCTGGTGCGAGTCACCATGCATGAGCAGTTTGCTGGATGGATGAAGAATGCGTGCTGAACAGATGACTCTGAAAGCCCCTCAAAGCTTCACACACCCACACACGTCAAGCGCTATTTATGGACCAGCAAGGTGGTGCTGGCACCTCTGTGAGATCGAGCGGGGATGGCCCTGGGCTCAGTTGTGAGGCCCGGAAGCATTGCCCTCAGCTTTGCTCTGCCCTGTCCTGAATAGGCCTGATTCACTGCCCCTTAAGGGGCCAAGTCCATGCCAAAGTGTGGCCCAGAGCAGGGGGATTTAAGTGCACATTTTTTTTTTTTTTAGTACCGGGATTGAACTCAGGACCTTATACTTTCAAGGCAGGCAGCGGGACCACTGAGCTAAATCCCCAGCTTAAGTGCACATTTTTCAGGAAGAGCTCAAAAAAGTAGGGCCAGACTGTCAATAACAATCAATATGGGTTTATTATTGTTCATAATAATAAATGGCTGGGGGCCCGGGCTTTAGCTCAGTGGTTCTGCCGCCTGCCTCGAAAGTGCAAGGTCCCGAGTTCGATCCCTGGTACCAAAAAAATAAAATAAAATAAAATAATAAATAAATGGCTGGTATACATTTATGGTATACATTTAATCTGGTATACATTTATGATTTATGGCTTAAGAGCCCAAGTTATACATATTAATTATGTAAGTATAATTCACGTTCTAAGCACATTAGGCCCACTACAGGTGAAAAACAACATCTGCATTTATAGGAAAATTATGTAACTATCCTTTTTTGTTTTGCTTTTTTAAAACAGGGTAGTTTAGGCTGCTCTTGAATTCATTATGTAACCCAGGATGACCTCGAACTTGAGGCAATTGTGCTGCCTCAGCCTCCCAAGGGCTGGGATTACAGGTGCATACCACCACTTTCAGTTTTATTTTGTCTGTGGTGCTGCCACTGAGCTATATCTCCAGCCCAAAAGTCTTTTTCAAAAAAAAAAGTCTTAGCCAGGGATTTAGCTTAGTGGTTTCGCCACCTGCTGTGCAAGCGCAAGGAGCCGAGTTCGATCCCCAGTGCCACAAAAAAAAGTCTCAAAGCCCTCTAAACCTGGCCTTGAATACAGTATGCAAGAACGAAAATGTTTGTACGCAGAGATCCACCCATATCACAGGGCAACACTGCTGACAAAAATCCAGGATCAGGATCTGGTGGAAATGTCAACAGAGCACCTCTATGTGCACAGTTTCAGGTATGAAAGCAAATACATCAGGGATGAACCCAGGTGGCTCTCAAGTTTCCAGTCAGCGTGCAGTGGACGGAATGTGGCAAAGGGACTTCAAGGACAAAGGACAGAATCCCCACTTTGCTGTCCTGGCCCTGGACAGATTCCTCCTCCCAGGACCCCAAGCTTGAATTTCCGCCTGGGCAGCCGTCCACTCCTGAGCTAATATGAAGCAAGCACCAGGGCACTGGAAAGGAAGGGCAGAGACTGAGAACTGGAAGAGAACACAGACTTGCCCAAGGGCACAGCACAGGAAAACGTAAAACGCCCTCGACTGGGCTGGGGGAAAGCCTGCTGGAATAAAATAAAAGCAAAGGTGAGGCTGTGTAGCAAGAGTACCTTCTGGAAAAAAATAAAAAAATAAAAAGTACCTTCTGGAACTGACTCGAGGGCTTCTCGGTGACCAGGGACCGCCAGCATCCCCGAGGACCCCTCCACTTGCGGATGTTGGGCAGGACCGGCTGGTTCAGCTCCGCACAGAACTGCAAAAACAGAGGCCAGTCAGTGCGTGTCCCCGATACTGTGGCTCCGAGCCACCACCTGCAGGCTGGAGGCTGCAGGGCTTCGTGCCTGTGCTCTTGAAGAGCAGGCTTCCCGCTGCTGTCCGTCAATCAAAAGAGAAATACATAAAGAGTGAACAAAGCAAAATAAACATGGGGGTTCCAAAGATCCAGATGACAAGGCAAGCAGCACAAATTAAAACACACACTGTCCACCTGCAAAACACCAAGTAATCATCGGGACTGAGGTTTTCGGTCCCAAATGGTTCAGAAAGAGCAGTCAAAGCCCTGTCCGTACGGGGAAGCCAGTGGCTTCCGATCGGTGTCAAATCCAAAAGGAAAGAAGAGGTCCACATGGAATCTTTCCTCTTCGGGGCTCAGCTTATCGCACAGGGACAGAAAATGACCCCAGCTCAAACCTCAACCACATACTGTTGCAGATGGCTACGTGCCCATCTGTGTCGTGCACGACTTTGTGCTCCTATGTGTTCCACAATGTGGCCTGGGGTCCAAAAAGAGTCTTTATCACCGAAGTAAAACAAAATAGCACAAGGTAGGAAGAAAAGGAAAAACCCTGCCAACTCCAAGCTGGGTGTGGTGGTGCCCGCCTGTAATCCCTGCACTCTGGGAGGCTGAAGCAGGAGGATTGCAAGTTGCAGACAGGCCTGGGCAACTCAGCGACTTAGTGAGGCTCTGTCTCTAAATAAAATTAAAAAATTTAAAAAGGCCTGGGATGTAGCTTAGTGCAAAAGTACTGAATTCAATCCTCAGGACCACAAAATAAAAAATCCCAGACTATTAACTTTACAGTACATAGGCCAGTTTCTCGAATTCATTCTGAGGCAGCTTCTTTTTTGGTACCAGGGATTGAACTCAGGACCTTGAGCTTCCAAGGCAGATAGCGGAACCACTGCGCTAAATCCCCAGCCCTGAGTCAGCTTTCTGGAGGAGTCTCCAGACTTCATTAGATTTGGGCCTAGCATTTTTTTTTTTTCTTTCAGTCCTGGAGATTGAACTCAAGGCCTTCACACTGAGCTACATCCCAATCCTTCTTTATTTTCAGATAGGATCTCTCTAAGTCACTAAGTAGCCCAGGTTGTCTTGAACTCAAGATCCTCCTGCCTTAGGCTCCCACAGTGCTAGGATCACAGACATGAGCCACCATGCTTGGCTTGGGCCCAGGTTTTGAGATGCTCTGACACCTGCCGCTGCCCTCCCCAGTTACACCCTCGTGTCCCTCCATACACCTTTGAGCACCCACTTGCCGGTTCCTTTGTGAGGGTTTCTCGCTTTAACCAGCTGCCTTTACTCCTGCTTGCCAGTTCCTCAGAGTCAGCTTGGACCTCTATCAGACCCCAAATCTGTAGCCGTGGCCCATATCTCTTGCCTGAGCGTCGAATCGTGTTTATGATGGCCTCTTTAACAGTTTCACCTGAAGGTGTCCTCAGAACCTCAAACCCAGATAGACAGAAGAAACAAATCAACAGACCCAGCCCCCACCAGGGAAGCTCAGTGTTTAAAAAGCCCTGCCAGGCGACCAGCCCAGCCCACCATGTATCCGGGAGCCCCAGCCTGAGGGCACTGGCTGGCAGGGACTCCAGTCTACAGGCACCTGGCCCATAGGGGTGCATCTCTGATAGCCACAAAGCCACCCAGCTCAGCTACTTCCTTCCTGGTGACACAGCTCTGCAGAGGGAAAGGTGGACCAGACCAAAGGCAAGTTGCCCATGCTGGTCACTTTGAGAGACCATGTTTTTGACTTAGGTAGAGATGATCGGTGTCACTGGGTACTTGTTAAAATGCAGATTCCCAGGCCTGGCCCCAGACATGCTTAGTTAGAGACTGGGCTGGGCTGGGCAATCTGCATTTGATGGAAGGCAGAGCTAGTTTCATGGATGGAGGGAAGGCATTACGTTTTATTTTATACTTAAAATCTGTTTACTCCTCAGTAAACTCCAGGAGCCCTAGCCCAGTGGGCATCTGAATCCTGCACATCTGAAGCCTTGCTGTGACTCCCTCTCAAAGCCACAGTGCAGATTACCTGTATCCAACCTCTCCCCAGTGCTTTTTACGTCACTGGGAAGAGCTAACAACTCAGGAGACCAGGGACATAAGTGTGGTTACCAAGAGCTGCCTTGGCCCCAATTTTCATAATCAGAGTTAAGGAAGGGCTAGGGATTTTCTTCTGTTTCTAGGACCAGAGAAGGAATTGTCTTTTAACCAAAGTGACACTTACACTGAAGGGTCACGGCCAAGCTAAGAAGGGGAACGTTTTAGGTCCTTGCTACTCCACATGTGGTCTGTGGACCGCAGCACGGGCCTCCTGGGTCCCTGATCTCCTGCACAGTCTGCATTGCTACAGGTCTCAGGGTCGTTTCTGAGCCCCTGAAGCTTTGAGAAGTCGGCCTGAGGGACTTCCTGCCAGTTGTACCCGGGCACAGCGGTGGTGCCCCCGCCTCTGCAGGCCCTGCGGAGCCCCAGGAGGCAGATGTTCTTCTAGCTGTTCCGGGGCCATTTGCTGCTCAGGATGGTGGGGCCCTTCCTGGTGTAAGGTCAGGGTCACCTGGCTGGGAAGTGTGACGGGAGGGTGGGGTCAGGTCTGCCCAGCCTGCTGCTGGGCCTCCGCCTGGACAGCTGTTCAGGGCTGGGCCAGTTCCCCTCTATATCCTCTTCCCATCCTTTCCCCAGAAGCCTCTGTCCATCCTCTGACAGCCCTCAAGGTGGGCACTGCCTTAAATGTCACATTTAGGCCAGCAGGTCCTCAAATCTGTTTCACTCACATCCATCTGCAGAAAGAAGGAATGATACAGTCACAGGTACAAGGGGGCCGTCAAAGCAGAAAGGTAGGGACAGCAGGGAGGAGCAGCAGGGATGCTTTGTGTCACTCAAAAGCCTCCCGGGGAATTCTGACCCACACGGCCCAAATAGGGCGGCTCACCTCACTCTCTGTTCTCAAACCCTGGTGGCTCACTTACAGCCGGCCTCCCTCAGAATGAAGTTGGTTCCTCTGTGTACATTGGTGGGCTGCTGGGCATGGTGACACACACTTGTGATCCAAGCTACTTGGGAGGCTGAGGCAGGAGGATCACGAGTTCATTGGCACGTGTGTGATGGCTGAATGGAGCCATAGGGTCACTGGAGGAGATCCTGAGGGGGACACTAGGACCTTGGTCCCTTCCTGCTCTCTGCTCCCGGGGCACCATGAGCAAGCAGCTTCCTCTGCAAAGCTCCTCTGCTGTGATGCTCCACCCCGACACAGGCCCAGCGACAGCAGGGTCACCAACCACACACGGGGACCTCTGAAGCCATGAGCTCGAATGAGCCTTTCCTCCTCCAAAGGTATCACTGGTGCCTCGTCACTGTAATGCAAAGATGACAAACACAGCCAGCAACCAAGAAGTGACAAAGGTCTCTTGGACACTAAACTACCCTTGGGCTCAGCAACCAGGGGCTTCAAAGTCCAGACCTCTTAAAAGCAACTGAAGAGATGCCCACGGCGCTGGCATTTACAGCTCCTCAGTCCTGGAGGACAAGAGGACTTGGCTGAGACTCCAGATTGCGGGACTTCCGGCGTCTTGGGTCTGCCCGGAGTAGCTGACTGCTTATCTCTACTGTGACAAAACGGCTGGAAAGCTTGAAAACAACTGCTTTTGCTCATGGACCTTTGGACTTTCTTCTTTACTTTGACCTCTCCCATGTTCTGAAAAGAATATTCTTCCATCTGGACCTGACTGAGAAAGAAACAGAAAAGTGCTTCTGCTTCACGAAGCAGCAGGTCCAGCCTCCAGCAGGATCAGAGCCCCTCACAACCCCTTTCCAGTCAAGTTAAATCCAAACCCGGGCTCTGGGGGCGATGTGTGTCTTGGCAGTGAGCACACAGCTAACCAGAGACAGGCTATCGAGAGGATCTAACAGCAAACACCAAGTGGCCACCTTGTCCTTCTTCTGGGAAGGGTGGGGCCAGTCTGTTTTCACTTTGAAGGCTTGGGCTCAAATTCCCAGATGAAACTGCTTCCTTGGGGTGGTGTTTCTCTTGCTTTCCTGACCCTGGACGTGACTTCCCTTTGACAATAAGTTTCCCACATGGTCACCAACAATTCCTTCTCTGTGCTCAGTGGTGGCTCCTAAAAACACAATCTATTTGGGTGGATGACAAAGCCCATGTGGGTTTTCCTTATAAAGACATGTTGCCATAATCGTGTGTGGGCTACAGGACAACAGGGCCAAAGGCAGAGAGAATTGTTTTTAAGAAACATTAATGGGGGCAAGTGTGGTGGCACAGGCCTGAAATCCTAGCACTCTGGGTGGCTGAGGCAGGAGGATCTCAAGTTTGAGTCCATCCTGGGCAATTCAGCAACTTAGTGAGACCTTGTCACAAAAATAAAAATTAACAAAGGACTAGGGACGTAGCTCAGTGCAAAAACCCTGATTTCAGTCCCTAGTTCTGAAAAAAACAAACAGAAAAGATATGCTAATGGTAAGCAAGAGTTTACCCTTGACTGGATCTTCAAGCACTAAATGTTACAGCCACTGTGAGAAACCAGTGTCCTTCACATGGTGGACAAAGCCAAGGCACAAGTAAGGTCATTAGAAGATGCCAATGCACTCTGCAAGAAAACCCAGCCGTGCTGGAGCCTAAGCACTTCTAAGTGTAAATCAATGAGTACCCATGCTTGGCCTTCTAGATATACAAATGTGTGCATCACACGCTTTTCTAGGATAGTTAAAATACATTTGAAAAGCTGTATCCCTGAGGGGGAGAAATACACTTGCTTCCCTCTTCCAGGTTCTGCTGGGAGCCAAGTGCCCAGTGGCCCTAAACCTCATGCATACCACCTTGAGGCCCAGTGAGCCTCTTGGGGCTCCCAGGCCAGCAGAGCAGACTGGGGTTGTTTCCTGCAGCTTTGAACGTCGCCACCATCCAGGCAGGCACAGAAGGGGAGGGAGCAACTCTGGGCCCTGGGTTCACTGCTAACCCTTGG